TAAGCATATTGCATTGTAGGCAGAAAACAGTATACAAAGAATGATAGCCTCTTTTATGCAGCTCTTCTGTCTATGTGCTTTGCTCTCGCTCTGAATTGACCCGTGATTGGCCAGATCTCCCATCACAGGGGAGCATTTCTGAATCTTGAAAGCAGAGCCATGATGAGTATCACTTGAATAACAATATGGTGAGAGGATATTATGGAGTTTGCCAAAGATATGTTGTCTACCCTCGCTTTAAAGCTGCAGTAATTGTTTTCTGGCTACATGGGAGAAGTGAGAATCTGTTACAGTTTTTCTCGGTTGCTAACACACTAAAATTCTACATAAAGCACAATTATTTTAACTGACACTCAAAAAGCAAAATATCGGCTCAAATCTCCAAAACCCTAAACACGTTTTCAGCTTTTCACACAATTTGAAAATCAACATGGCACTTTTTGCAAACCACTGCACACGTTTCTCCACGTAAGACACAGGAATCTGACATAAAGTCACGTGTTAGCAGGTTTAAAACATTGATATTCAAAATGCCTCACACCAATGATCAAGAAACACGTTCCACCTGACCAAACACCTGGTAGCATCATTGTTGGCTCATCAATCAGGATGTTAGCACTATAAAAAGACCACAGGTGAGTACTTTCTTACAGCAACAATGGAAGCCAACATGGAAGCAAGAGCAAGAGGAAGGGCTGGGCTGAGTGAGAGGAGGAGGAAGAGGTGGGGTGAGAGTGAGAGGAGGAAGAATGAGAGGTAGAGCTGGAGGGAGAGGACGTGGACAAAGAAGAATACTCATGATATATCAGTGCTTATATCTGTTGGGTGAAACGTATTTACTTCATTACTGTAATTGAATTGTTGGCATGTTGCATACTATAACTGTACAAACATCCTGCACAATGCACTGTGGTAAACTTACTTTTATGCAACACACACACTGACCAACCACTACATCTTTGTTGTTTATCTGAAGGACTGAGAAACAAAGAGGTGGAAGGCTAAGGGTTTTCTATGAGGCGCAGGAAGCAGCAGTTACAAACTGGGTTTTGGCAAACAATGGCAAACACACTTAGAGAGATCTGAAGCATCGTAACTATGTGCTGAGATGCATGTTGCACAATGTTATCTTTGAATAAAATGTGATTTCTTTCAACAACTCATTTGTATTTCTTCCTTTACTGTATTTCTGTAAACTCAAGCAATCTTTCTTTGCAGAAACCTCTATGTACAGAGCATAGCCCATAACAGGTGAAAGTGCTTTAGATTATGCTCAGCAGTGTGTAGTTGGGTGGTCAAACCATCTAGTGTTATGAATGAAGTTATATTTGGTGCTAAAGTTTGCATTTGGTCAGTGTTTATGTAGTTTTGAGTGCAGTTCTTCATTTAGCAGGATAAATGAGGTGTTTTGCACTTTGGGTGTGTGGTTTTGTGAATTGTGTTTAGTGTTCTGAGAAACTGAGCAATTTAAAAGAAAATGTGTTTTAGCAATCGAGAAAAACTGTAACACTGACACGTAATTACATTGCAAAGTAGTAATGTTGACAACATTATATATATTCCTAAAACCTCCCAAAATGTACACAAAACAATCATCATACACATGCAGCAGTATTTCTAAACTCAGAAAGTGGAGACACACCTGCATAAATATGAAATGAGACGGGGGGGCGGGTAAACAAGGTCGACTGTACAGGGAAAGACTTGTTATAATTCAGCCGGAAATTGATTCCCTGGAATTGAAGCTGAGGGCAGATTGTCTTTCCACTGTGGCACTGATCTGTTTCCAGTCCACAGAGGTATGGGAGTTTTCCAATAACAAGTATTGATCCAGTCCATTACTGTTATTGAACGGTGTAGCCTTACAGTTTGTGGTCTCATGACAAATATTACTAAGATTGATGGAAGTTGTCTCTTTCTCTGTTCTCGCCGCAGAACTGACAATGAAATACAAATATGAATAAGTGCACCTCTAGTTAACACCAAAGCTTTTCTTTCTGTCAGCACATAAATCTGCAGGATGGATGTGGCGTGCCGAGTGAATACATGAGACACTCTCTTTGTGACAACAAAGCAGGTGCCTGCAAAATATCTTCTAGGCAAATGTTTGTTCATTCAACCTAAATACTTCATCGTAATCTCTTGGTGTTTCATTATTTTCTTTGTAACACAGAATACATAAAAAGACATTCCAATAATCTCCTTTTCTGATGCAGAAATTCATATTTAAAAAAAGGCTGTTTGATGTCTCAGTGAACATATTTTAGTGATATTTAATCATAGTGTGTTATCAAAGTTGAAGTTGGGTTTGCCTAATAACCGTTTGTTCTTGGTTTAGGTTTTTGTTGGCATTAATAATAATAATAATAATAATAATAATAATAATAATACTAATAATACATGACACTTATATAGCGTTTTTCTAGGAACTCAAAGACGCTTTGACAGAGAGGGCTTTAAAAAACAATTACGTGTTTTATGAGACAGTTGGACAAAACACTGCATTCACAGGAACTTAGGATCAGAAAGAATATCAATCAATCAATCAATGTTTATTTATATAGCCCAATATCACAAATGTTACATTTGTCTCAGTGGACTTCACAGTTTGTACAGAATATCAGTATGACAATACGACATCCTCTGTCCTTAGATCCTCACATCGTACAAGGAAAAACTTCCGGAGAAAACCCACAGTTTAAAGGGAAAAATGGGAGAAACCTCAGGGAGAGCAACAGAGGACGGATCCCTCTCCCAGGACGGGCAGACGTGCAATAGATGCCGTGTGTAAATTGAAAAGATAATACATTTGCAACATAGGTAGTCCAAATGTTTGGAAATGCATGTGTGTATAATAGGAAGATGAATCCACGAGGATATCCATCCAGGACCTATGATCCAGGACCACAGCCACGACTCAAGATCCAGGGCTCGCGATCCAGGACACAGGACCGCAGGATCATCCATGACTCCGGATCCCGGCGTATATAGACACCAAAAAGAAAGACATTTGGGGAAGCTGGGTTAATCGGAACATGAGAGTACACAGGTATAGACAGAGAGAAGGAAGAAGTAAGATGTCCCCCGACAAACTAAACCTATATCAGCAAAACTAGGGGCTGAATCTAATCAGCCCTAACTATAAGCTTTATCAAAAAGGAAGGTCTTAAGCGCACTTTTAAAAACGGATAGGGTGTCTGCCGCCCGAACACAAACTGGAAGCTGATTCCACAAATGTGGAGCTTGATAAGAAAAGGCTCTGGCTCCCATTGTACTTTTAGAGACTCTAGGAACAACCAACAACCCTGCATTCTTGGAACGCAATGCCCTAGTAGGACAGTAGGGTATAATGAGATGGCGCCTGCCCATTAAGGGCTTTGTAGGCGAGAAGAAGAATTTTAAATTATATCCTGTGTTCTATAGGGAGCCAGTGTAAGGCAGCCAGAACAGGAGTAATGTGGTCCCTTTTCCTAACTCTGGTTAGTACACGAGCTGCAGCATTTTGAATCAGCTGAAGCGACTTGACTGACTTCTTGGTACACCCTGATAATAAGGAGTTACAATAATCCAGCCTTGAAGTAACAAATGCATGGACTAGTTTCTCTGCATCGCTTATTAATCGAATAGCGGCTAATAAGGTTTAACACTGATGCTTTGGTATTTGCTTCACAAGAAAACCCATTTACAATAAAAACTTTCTTTTTTTACAGACATGTTTGTTGACGTGGGCCCTCCTTGGCGCTGTGAAGGACGAACCAGGCAGTGGGGGATTTATCTAACTCTTACTGCGTCTCTGAACAGGAGGAGGGCCAGAACGAGATGAACAAGATCTAAACTGAATGTTTTACTGCAAAGGCCTCAGGAAACTGCTCCAGGGAGCTCTACTGCACAACACACCCCTGTGTGCACTATGAAATGGAAGTATTCCTAATGTCTTTTTGTATATATATATATATATTTCAAAATCCAGCCTGATAAGTACCTTTGGAAACTGGATACACTACAAATTGAAATAAAGTTGAACAACATTTGGGTTAGAATGGGGTTAAATGAAAGTCAAAACCAAAAGCTTTTTCAGTTGCCTGGCTTTGATTTGTATAATTTAAAGCGTCAACACTGATACATTTACAATTATAAACATGTTACCTTCATTCTTTTAAACCAACTCTCTACAAGTCCTCAAATAAACAGACAAAAGTGCTATTTTCATCAAATATTTCAGTTTTGAATTAATGTGATGACCATGATTAGTGGCTCTATTAGGACTCTAAAAAACAACTCCTGCCTCCATCACTCAAGGGAAAAGATGCATAATTCAAAACCATCTCGAGCGACAGACTGCAGAAGTACAGTTTGATGAGTGTGCTGCTCTTCTGCACTCTTTAGTTATCATTGAGAGGAATCGGTGTCTGGACCTGCAGCAGTCAGATGGCCAGAGCTGCCACCAGCAACAAACAAGCTCTTCTTCATAATGTGCTAATGAAGAAGACTGGTGGGTGTGTATTGACCCGGCTGCAGTGTAGAGATGTTGGCTGTTGCCAGGTTGTGAGCTGCGGCTGAGGCAGCTGTGTTTTCACATTGAATCCTGCTCAGCATCAGTCAAAATGTTATTCCTGCACACGTTAATTGGGTAGATACAGTATGCTCTTTATTTTGTTTATCTCATTAGAGCAGAAGGCCTGAGGGTTATATGTGATTACACAAGTTCAGTTGATTCACAGGAGCAGTGTATAACAGGGATGTGACATGAGGATATCAGGGGGTTTAGCTGATGGCCAGACTGTCATGGTAAGCTCATGGGTAAATTTGAATTTAATTTACAGGCACGGGATCAACCTTTGAGGTTTATGTAGGAATCGGATTATGGTCATAAAAGTACACCCCCCCCCCCCCCCCCCTCTCTCCTACACCCCCTCCCTCCCTGTGTCTCCCCCTCTTTGAATGGGGGTGCTGGAGCCGTCTGCCTGTCACCGCTTGCCTCTTTGTTCAAACTGATCTTGCTTCTCTCCCTCAGCGTTGATGCTGGTGAGGAGGGGGGTCGGAGGCAGCACCTTGCTGTGTGTGTGTATGTGTGTGTGTGTGTGTGCATATATTCCGATCTGGCAGATATCGGTGTGTGTGTGTGTGTGAGAGGAATGAACGGCGCATAGGCTGCAGCTCAGCGAGGCGAGGATAACGTTGGAGAAGGAGTGAAAAGTCCAAGTTGTGGAGCGCCGGTGCTCACACTCACCCGGTCTGGTCTGTTCCGCAAAGTGCTGTTTCTCCGTGTCTGCACCCTGTGGGAGCTTTGGGGAGCACCTGCACTGAGGAGAGCACATTCCTCAGGATTGCACAATTGGGACGCGTCTCGGTTTATCAGAAAAGGTAAGAATGAAGTAACGGAAATAATTCACTTCGCATGCATGGCTTTATGAAATCAATCATTTGGTCAGTGTGTGAAGTCACCGGGTGTTAGAAGCCGTCTGAGACCACTCAGCTGCTCGGATAGGATTTTAAGTCCGTGCATTTGTTGGTTGCGATATGCACAAAACACATTTTTTTCACATTGCCCATCCATCCATATCAAATTATTTGCATATGTTAGAGGTATTTATTATTTCCCGAGCACCAATCAACGCATTACCTCTCTCACGATTTGAGACGCACACAAATCGCACCCGTGTGGGATATCTTTAATTATTTACAGCTCATAGCTTTTAATATTGCTCTATATTTACGACCCATGTAGAGGCATGCATTCATCATAAATGCAGCTAGTAACCTTGTTGGTGTGTCCTTTACATGGTTTCCTCTCTGGAGAGCTCTTGTCTTCATAAGAACTTAAGAGCTTTAGATGCACATACATATTTTAAATCATCCTGTACAGATGATAAAATCAAAAGACAAGGGGGAGGGCGCCTTCTGTTGACTGATGCAATTGTGGAAGCAGATCTGAACACTTGAACAGGTGTTTGTGAAATCTATTATGTAAATCAGAGTCACTTGGTGAACAAACAACATGTGTTGAATAACTGCCAAATTCAGATCTTATGTTGGTCCACCTCCAGAGCTGTCACCTGGGCAGGACATCAAAGACCCTGTGAGGTATATCAACTGGATTATCAGTGATCACACAATACTTTATCTTTACATCAAAGTCTCTGCGCCTTGTAAACTAACTCTGGAAATACTCAAGTATGGTAAAATTAGTGATTACCTGCTGCCAACCATAGGAAAACATATTTGAAATTCTTGTATTAATGACTTTGTGCTCTGTAAACAAACTGTGGCATTCACACATCACAGTGAAGGAGGAGAACAGTTTGGGTCACCTTGACAAATGAGCTGTGTTGTCTGAGAATATAAGAGCCCCTGCAGCCAATAAATCCTATTCTGTGTAGGTTCAAAAGACTCCAAAGTCTTTTCTTCTTTGACTTGTTAGTACGGCAACCACCAGCTGTGTGTCAGGACGTGGTTAACAGGCAACGCCACACTTTCAGGGGTGCCCAACCTTTTTTGAACCGAGAGATACTTTTAAAGTTGCCAGTCTGCTAAGATCTACCAGTCCAAATAGAGAGGCATAGCCATTACTGACAGCCTACTGCCAGATAAATACACACTTCTACTTGTATAAAACTGACCTCTGTACGATTAATACTTCATAAAATACTGCAGATCCTTTATCTTACCTCTTTCTAATCTACACACATACAAGTATTTAACTGAAGTTACACAACAGTGTTGTTGATACAGAGTTGGAGTTTATTCACACGTCACATACTACAGTGGGTAATGTTTTCAAGAAACATTGAACAGTGCTGCCACATATGACACAGGGAAAAAAGAAAAGACACTGAACCCTTTCTTTGCCATTATATAAAAATAGTGTTGCTACAAAAGTATAAATTAGGCTTACTAATAAGACAACTCAGATCTGAAGCTACACAGGAATCTGCTGCCAAAGTGCAATAAAAAAGACAAAATTAATAGAATCAAACCCTTTTTTTGTTGTATTTTAGTAGATTATAAAAAGAAATGCCTTTAAAATAGGATGCAAGCAACACTAGTTTCTTAACCTGAATTGATAATAGACTATAATCAATTTAAACAGAACAGATCTACATTCTTACATTTTGTACAATAATTATAATGAATAAGTTCAAACAAACTAAAACTTACAGCTGATTAATAACGGCATCTAACTTTATTTTTGTATTATATCAAAAACCTGTTGAAATGCTACTGTTATTTTTACTGTCCCCAAAAAGCGCGTCGGCAGCCTCCAGGAATGCTTCTTTCACAACTTCACCGTCTTTGAAAGACTTCATGTGTTTCGCAAGAACGTGACTGACACGATAAGGTGCTATGGTAGCAGCCTTGCTCTTGTTGTTGGGCCTGGTGAAAATGGACTGCTGTGCATTTAGCTATCCTTTCAGGTCAGTGGCAGTTCTAGACCAATTTGACTGGGGGGGCCACTGGGGGGCCAGTTATTTTCTGAGGGGGGCACAATAAATGCCAGACGAAAAAGAGAACTAGACAGCATGAAGTAATTGCGCATAAGAAAACAATGCAATACAGTTATTGGTATTTGTTTCAGTACACTTATTTATTTCAGATAGATCTTACAGTTATTACTGTTAGCTTCAGCTTAAGTTATAGTGCAATGTTTGCACTAACACCATATTTATATAAAAATAAAGGCAATGAACAGTTACATCTCTACTTTACATAAGGGTGTCTGCACAATCTCACATTACAGAAACAAAATCCTGCGGTTTTTGGCAAACCGAGTACCAGAAAATATACATTTTAAAAAAATGTAATTTTTTTTTCATTGTTAGGGGGGCCACAGGTCAGTGTTGACACGGACAACGTCAGCGAACCAGTGTTGCCAACTCCATAGTAAGGAAATTAGCTATTGGCTGTCCGGAAAGTCGCCAGAAGTCGCTAAATGACGTCATCGCCTAATTTGCATATCATGTAATGGCGGCTGTAGGAGAGAGCATGGTAGAGGGGAGTACAAAAAACGTTCCCAACCCTTCAAGGATCAAATTCTGGACTTCTCCAGGAAAGCATCATGATGTTTAGCTTGTCACAGAGATGTTTAGCTTGTCACAGAGAGGCACACACACAGTGGACGAGGTGATTGAGTGACTGAGGCTGTGTGAGTCAAAGCAAAGCAAAGGCAGTTATTTATTATAGTGTGAAAGTGAGTGAAGAAACATTTACATTTTACATTTAAATCCCGCTCAAAACCAGGACGGCTTGGCAGTTGGCGCATGCGCAATTCATTTGCAGTCTCGACGCGGGGGAGTGTGGTTGTCTCCTCTCCTCTGCTCTGACTGCAGCATCAGCTCTGCTGCGGCCAGGCAACTGTCAGTCTGAGCGCCTGTGAGTACTATGGGAGGGAGGCGGGGCTCACGGCAGCACCCGCGGCTCGTTAACTGCAGAACAATACGTGAGTCTCCAAACACCAGAAAAGTCCCTAATAACACCATTATAAATCGCTAGATTAGTCGTTAGTCGCTTTTGACACAAATAAGTAGCCGGAGGGTTTGGAAAGCCGCCAAATGTAACGAGAAAATCGCCAAGTTGGCAACACTGCAGCGAACTAGTGCACTGCTCACTGCCCACCAGCCACGCCCCGACACATGGGGTCACGCCGGCCAATCACAAAGCTTTGATGCGTTCAAGTGCATTATTCTGGCACAGGAAGATTATGTTACAGGACATTAACGATAAAACAGAACATTGTTGTTCTATTTTTAGACACATCTCGCGATCGACTGGGAATCTCCCCGCGATCGACCGGTCGATCGCGATCGACTGGTTGGGCACCCCTGCTTTAGACCTACCCGAGCTGAGGAAATGTAGCCCGTGTGTGAGAGATAACAGAGCAGTAGTGCCTGTGGGATGAGCATGAGGAAACTAGTGAGGAATGAGGCTAAGAGGCCCATGCTGAAAGTTTACAGCATGCATTTTTCATTCTGTCCGGATGTGTGCATGTGTGTCTTTGAAAGTGCATCCATGAGCTCCGCACGCATACAGTACAGTAGAGATGTGTGTGTGACGACATTCACACGAGCCGAGGGATCAGAGAGCGGTGTTGTGGGGAAGGAAAATGTCCGATTCCTCGCTGTCTGTTGCTGCACACTTTGCACTTAATCAGTCTCAGTGTTGTTTATCATGTCTGACTCTGAGACGGCTGCAATTCCAGGAGTCACTATGCATCACTGGGAGATGGGAACAGGAAGTAATGTCTGATGCTTTTAGATACATGAAAGAAGCGGTAGATCCACAGAAAAAGAATTAGGAGGGTTTTAAGCCATTGTTCAAGCAAAGATGTCAAATGTTTCCTTGTTTCTCTCGGTAATTGTGAGGGTTTATAGCTTTTCTTTGTCTTTGTTGACAGTAAACTGAATTATTTTGCATTTAACTGGACAAATAGAACACAATATATCTCTATCTTCTAGCATTGTATCAACAAAACCAGTTCAATTAGGAGCAGCAACTGTTATGAACACATATCACAAGTTGCTGCTTTTCTATGCATTACATCATTGTAAGCTCAATGCTTTTCTGTTTTGGGTTGTATGTCGAACAAAACAAAAGGCTTTGAGACGTCACCTTGGGCTTTCGAAATCTGTGGCGGGCCTTCTTCACCATTTTATGACATTCTATAGACTGGGACGGAGAAAACAAACTGTTGTTCAGTTGATAATTAAAAAAGTTGTTAGTGATAGGGAATAAAGGGAGGAATGCAATAAGTGAGCAGTTTTGTCTCAAGTCTCGCAGATGGTGTATTTTGAAGAGAAACAAGATCATTCTCTGCCAGGGTTTTATATTATTCTCTGGTATAAAAGTGCCCACTCCAATATGTCACTCAGGTGATTATGGGGTCCATCCCCCTCTAATGCAGCGTTAATAGCTAACAAAATAGCGCCATAAAAATGCAAATCAGAACCGGCGCTCGCTTATACTGACGATCAAAATAAGCTTCACCTCTGAGTCAGCCAAAGGCTTGTTGCTTTATGGCTATACTGACCTGAAAATAAGTAGATTTGGTTTGGATCAGATGCTCATGATGTACAAAGCAGAACATGCATCATGCTCCTTTGTTCAGTTTTTACAAGCAGTCGTTTATAAACAGCAGATCCAACTGTGAACTAGACTGTGAACTAAAGTGGGGATTTTATGCTGTGTTTGAACTTTGTGATGCGTTAACAGCCAGAAGTGGAATTGGCTTTAGACTAACAATGACTTCACAGTGACTGGAGCTAAAACTGTTCACGTTTTCAGCACTGGACAGCTCCCAAATCTCAGAGCCCAACAGTCCCTCCTCAAACATTTGTCAAATAGAAAAATAACCCTGAATAGATGTGTTT